CATCTTGAGTTTTGCACTAAATAGCATCATTTTGGAAGCCAGTCCATACCTATATACACAGAGCTGTTTTTCTTCTTTTTTTTATAACTGCATAATATTTAATAGTATGGACGTGCCATAATATATTTAACTAGTCTGCTATTGATAATCATTTAAATTGTTTGTAGTTGCAAAAGATTAGAAAATTGGCATAGGAATATCTTGGTAGATACATTATTTTCTGATCAATATGAGTATATCTAATAGCCAAAGTACTAGATTTTCTAAGCCAAATCATATGACAGTGTAAATTTTGATAGATATTGATAATGTATGTGTGAAATATATATTAATATATGAAACGGTTTCCCCACCCCTTGCTAACACACAGTGTTTTCAAAATCAAAATGTTTTATCTTTTTCTGCAAGATAAGTAAATCATGCTATTTTAATATAGTTTAAATTTGCATTTCTTTAAATGAAATTGAGGGTATTTTCATGTTTCAGTTATATTTCTTTATCTGTGACTTGTTTATCTTTTGGGGCACTTATTTATTGATTTGTTAATCTTTTTCCTATTGACTTGTAGAACCTCTGTATATATATTGGAGAAATTAGCCCTTTGAGATGATGGTTTACATATATTTGTCCCCAGTTTGTTAAGTTCTGAGTTTTCTTAAAGTGCTTTCTCCATGTAGAAAAGTTTTATTTTTGTGTAGCCTAATTAGACTTTTCTTTTATGCCTTCTTAGTTCTGTGCCATTCTTAAAAAGGCCTTTCCTATTCCAAGATAATAAAAAGAATATATCTTCAGTGTTTTAGTAGTTTTGTCATTTAATTTTTAAAATGTTGAAGTTATTGATTTAGCTGGAATTTACTCTAGTATCTGAAAAGTTTGAGGTGGGAAGTCCAACTTTGTTTGGTTTGGTTTTTTTTCCCATCTAGTTATCCAATCATCATCATCATTTGATTAATCCCCACTGATTTGAAATGCCCCCTACATTTCCTTTAAATATCAAACTCTTTCCCTTCATGTTTTAAAAATGTAATCAAGTAAAAGTTAGGATTTATAAAACTAGGAGCACATTGGCTTCAAGTGAGAGGTCTGACAAAATAGCATTGGGACAACTACCAACTATATTCCCTTGTCTGAGGACTTTCCCCTACAGTTCCTCTACTTGATACTTCCTTTTTGTCTATTTTCTTCCCATGTTTTCTAAATGTGTAGTAAATATACACCTGAGCCCTCAACCCTTAAAAGCTCATCTCCAAAGCAGTGGGCGATAGCATTTTGAGGTAGGACACATGATAACATTGACAGCCATGTAATGGGCAGATCAATTTGGTTCTGACTGCTAACAGTGGAAATGAGGGGAGAAAATGTCGAAGAGTTTCGTCACTGACATAAAATAACATAAAATGAAAAAGTCCTCACCAGTGTTTCCATAATTAAAAGTCTTAGGCTTTTCCCTGTGCTGCAGAAATCATAATTTATGAGCATATGTATGTTTCAAAGCTAAAATGCTACCCTAGAGAGAAAATTCTTAATTGAGGTCCCCTTTTGTCCACAATTAGATAGATCGATCGGCTAATAGAAATCCAGCAAGAACATAAGCTGAGGGACAGTGACGGTTTAATTTGGTATCCACATCGGCATGTAGACCTGATATTTTGTGATTTCACAACATTCCTTTAAAAGCATATGAGGACATCATGTTTCACGTTAGCTCTCCCAGTTGGGTGGAATTAGGAAGATTTCTTAATTTATCCTGACAAAACACTGGCTTTATTTATATATACAGATATAGGACTTAAAGACATGAGGTCTAAAAATGTTATAAAATAAAATATCAAACAGATGTATGAGGCACTGATGTTTTTGGCTTAGAGATTTCATTTCCCCTTAAAATATATGAATGGAGTTTTTAGTACATTTAGATTTTCTTTGGGTTAATATCAAAATAAGCTTTTCCTAAACTTAAGGAAGGCAAAAGTCCAGCATTGTTTCAAGAAGCCAAAGAAAACCAGCCTGGGATTTAAAAACAGTCAGGGTCAGCCAGGAGGCATTTGCCGTGCATTCACTTATTTATTCATTTATTTAGCATCATTATTAGCACCATCATAATTGAGTCCTGTCTTTATGGAGCTTACATTTTATGGGGGGGAGACAATATATTAACAAACATTAGTAAACAGTGTGCAAGAAGATTATTTTTGCAATGACAAACGAGAGAAGCAGAGCAAGAGCCATCAGGAGTGCCAGTCCACGTGCAGGAAGCAAGGTCGTAACTGTCCACAGGGCCACAGGCACTTTTCTTTGAGAAGGTGACAGCATGAGCCATGACTTGAGGACAAGAGATGACTGTTCATTGTCATAATTCTGCAGGAATCATCTTGATTCTTATTTTAATAACTTCCTTTTTGATACCTTAAGAAACCCTCAAATGAGGGACATGGGAAATGCTAAAGAAATGATAAAAACCTTCACCAGTTTTTCCATAATTAAAAGTCTTAGGCTTTTCCCCCCTGTGCCGCATAAATCATTATTTATGAGAATATGCTTGTTTTAAAGCTAAAATGCTACACTAGAGAGAACATTTTTAATTGTGGGCTCCTTTTGTTCCAGACTGCTATCTAGGATGAATGATGAAGGTGAGAACGTTCCGTGTGATCTTATTTGTGTTTGTTTCTAACTGGCTCCAGGAATCAGCATGTGTGAAAGTGGTGGCTGCCGTCAGCATGTGGGATGTGTGCATGGAGAAGGGACACAAAGACTTGGAACAGTTTGAGAAGGTGCATCGCTACATCAGTGACCAGCTCTTCACAAATTTTGTAAGTTGCTGTCTTCACCCACTCTTCATGGTTGGCCCTCTTCCTGGGATTCTCTCTGTCATCCAGCTCATGGAAAAGTTAATTCTGCAAAGGCATGCTCTGTGCATCAGGAGTCCTGGCCATCCTCTAGGATATTTGTATCAGGATTTTATATTCAGAACATGACTTTCAATTTGTTAAAAGGACAGGTAGGACCTGTATGTATTCACACAGATTTCTTATAGCTTGTGATTAGCCTAGTTTCAGGGACAAAGAAAAACTAGGAAATTTAATCTGGTATCACTACTGATAACTCTGATCAAAAGAACACAACTATAGGAGAATAATAACTTAAAAAGGAATATTTAGGAATAGTTAAGCAGTTAACAAATAGATCTTTGAGATGGCACAAACTACAAAGAAAGTACTAAAGGTCAAATTGCGTAGGAAATTCTAACTAGATATACAGTTGACCCTTGAACAACACAGGTTTGAACTGCATGGGTCTACTTATACATGGACTTTTTTCAAAAATACGGTAATTGTATTTTCCTTATGATTTTATTAATAACTGTTTCTTTTCTCTAGCTTACTTTATTATAAGAATACAGATAATAATATACAAAACGTGTTAATTGACTGTTTATGTTATTGGTAAGGCTTCTGGTCAATAGTAGGCTATTAGTAGTTAAGTTTTTGGGGGGTCAAGTTTTACATGGATTTTCAGAGGCACAGGGGTCGGTGCTCCAAACCCCTGCATTGTTCAAGGGTCAACTGCATATGGTATTTGTTTGGTCCCACGTAGAAGGAAATGGGTGGGGGATAATAGTGTCTTAGAGATGTCTGGATGGCTTGAAGCTGAAGAAAACATGCACACAGGGTACTTACAGGCATTCTAACCAATAGCATCTTTTAAAAAATAACTGACTAAGTGCCTATTGATGTTTTTCATGTGTCAATATCCTTCCCTCAATGTCTGTCTCACTAAAAGGAATTCAAGAGAAAAAATCCTTTGAAAAGTGAAAAGAGGTATTACCAAGTAGTTATGATCAGAAAAGGTATTACGGAGATATTAAAGTTTCTCTGTCCCAGATTTATGTAACAACTAAACCTTAAGTTAAATTCAAGCTCTATGGACCACACACACATAAAAAGTAATACCAGGCAGGCCATCACATTAATGTGTGAAGTTTAGTATTAGTTATCAACTATGGGGTTAAGGAGGGGTTAGCATATCTGCAAGCTCTGGCGTGTGCAGATTATTGGGAGAAGAGTTGTAAATTGAGAAGTTTCGCTGAGTATGTACATATATTTGGTGTTGGATAAGTAGGACACTGCTGGATCTGCACGGGTGTAGCTTGTGCACTAGGAGCAAAGCAGGTGGTGCAGGACATAGCAGAATCAGCCTGAAGAGTATTTTGGAGAATAACAACTGTGGGATGCCGACCAATTGAGCCACGTGCCTTTCTTGTCCCTGCAGAAGGAGAGGACGGAGCGGCTTGTCATCGCTCCCCTAAATCAGTTACTGAGCATGTTTACAGGGCCCCACAAGCTGGTACAGAAGCGCTTCGATAAGCTCCTAGACTTCTATAACTGTACAGAGCGGGCGGAGAAGCTAAAGGACAAGAAGACGCTGGAGGAGCTGCAGTCGGCCCGGAACAACTACGAGGCCCTGAACGCCCAGCTGCTGGACGAGCTGCCCAAGTTCCACCAGCTCGCCCAGGGCCTCTTCACCAACTGCATCCACGGCTATGCCGAGGCCCACTGTGACTTCGTGCACCAGGCCCTGGAGCAGCTGAAGCCGCTACTCTCAGTGAGTCCCTCCCCTTTGTGGAGAAGTCACCTCTGAAGTTCTCCTGGTGTTTTTCTGGAAATGCACAGCAGGCTTGTTTGAGACATTATTCAAACTAGGTAGATTATCTATGCCATTAGGTCAGGCCATCAGGAATTGGAATTCTTTTTTTTTTTAGCTGAGCCATCCTGCCACCTGTTGGCAGCTCAGCGGCAACTCAGCTCAGGCTGGGCACGAACCGCTGTTGCTCAGAGCTCAAACTCTTGAGTGAGCTCTTAACCAACTGAGCCACTCGGCCGGCCCTAGGAATTGGAATTCTTGATGGTGCCGTGAAACCTGTGGCTTTTAAACGGCCCTCTTTCCATCCCAGGCAGCCCCCAGAAGAGCCACCTTGGCCCGCTGGCAGTGCCACAGAGAGCCTTGTCCCTTGCATCAGGCTGCAGCATTGGCATCTTACACAGAGGGAACTGCAGCTGAACTCTAGCTTCCGGTTGGTTTGAACGAGACTTTGTCAGCCCTGGGATCTCTCATTCGTGTTCTCTCCTTTCCTCTGTCTCTGCTCTTCCCATGGACTCCAGTTACTGAAAGTGGCCGGCAGAGAGGGAAACCTTATTGCCATCTTCCATGAAGAGCACAGCCGAGCTCTGCAGCAACTCCAGGTTTTCACCTTCTTCCCAGAGACTCTGCCAGCTACCAAGAGGCCGTTTGAGAGGAAAGCCGTGGACCGCCAGTCTGCCCGAAAGCCCCTCCTGGGCCTGGTGAGTAGAGAACTAGAGAAAGGTCACAGGGCCTCATGGGTAAGCGTGTGAACTCTAGGGCTAGTACCGACACTTAGCTCAATGTATATCCTCGAGCCTTTGAGCCTAAACCTCTGAAGCTCAGTTTTGTCATCTCTAAAACACAGGTAATAATTATGCCTACCTCTTAGAGTTATTATGAGGTTTAAAGGCGTTAGTGTATGGGAAGCACTTGGACGCTGCCTGGCAGTTAGTAAGCACTGTACAAGTGAGCTATCATCGTTGTTATTATTTTTAATATTGATGCATCCAGCTCTGTCTTTACAAATTAGCAATTAGTAGGAGTTTAAGTATTTTATAATGAGTGGAGAATAAAGGTTGTTGGGTTGTCACCTGTCACAGACTCATTCATTCACTCACTATTGCTGAGCGTCACCGGTGTGACCACTTGTGGTTTTCTTACACTTGATAGATACTTCCACATGCCCTCTGAAAAGCATTTTTGGATTTTAGTTGACACAGTGGAAGGAGCTAGTAAAGTATTAATATTAATACTTTGATCAGTTAATTAAGGGAACTGACTTAAAGGTCTGTTAATTGTGCCAGGTCTCCCTATTTTTGATCGTGTATCAGAAAAGGTCATTATCTGATTTACTGTTGAACAGTTCATGGCTGACTGCTTTTTCACCTAGAGTTATATTTATTTTTAAACACAGTTCCTCCATATTTTGAAAACTTGGGTAAAATATGCCAGATTACCCTGGGTCATAATCTAAAAGACTGCAGACTTGTCTTGGCTTACAATATTTTTGCCCCATATAATCCCATGACAGTCATTTATATTACCTTAAAGGGGGGGAATCAAATTTATTATAAGGAAAGCCTCAGTTCATAGAGCAAAATAGAAGAAGACCTAGTAACTTTAGGTATTTTGAGTCTTTAAGGTGGCACTTTAATCCATTTTTTTGTCACAAGATAACAGAGTAAAACTAAGTGTGTGTTAAATTTTCTTAATAGCTACAAAGGCACCAAAACATGAAGAAGACCTAGTAACTTTCGGTATTTTGAGTCTTTAAGGTGGCACTTTAATCCATTTTTTTGTTACACGATAACAGAGTAAAACTAAATGTGTGTTAAATTTTCTTAATAGCTACAAAGGCACCAAAACATGACCTAAGAGATCATGAATTTTACCCAGCCCCACAGACTGACTCAGGCACCCACATATTTGCTGAGAGCAGGGAGCAGCTGGCTGTCACTGCCCTCATTTCTGAGACCCTGACAGTGTGTCGGGATGAAATATGGGATTAGATAATAGCCGGGGAAAGTTTTTGTTGATGGCGTTTCTTGTGCTGCCTTTCAGCCAAGTTATATGCTGCAGTCAGAAGAACTCCGGGCCTCCCTTCTGGCAAGGTATCCCCCCGAAAAACTCTTCCAAGCAGAACGGAACTTCAATGCTGCTCAAGACTTGGATGTCTCACTTCTGGAAGGTGATCTGGTGGGCGTGATCAAAAAGAAGGATCCCATGGGCAGTCAGAACCGCTGGCTGATTGACAATGGAGGTAAGACTGTTGGGCATCAGTTTGCTGTAGCTGTAGATGAGGAAGAGGTGCTTTGGGCTGTACCTGAATCCCATTTAGGCCAGGAATAGGAGAGTCTTCAATTAAAGGGGAAAATAACCTTAAAAGTGCTCTCCATCTCTGGAGAGTGTAATGCCCGAGTCATTACTGAAATAAAACCTGTCTTTGTTTTTGTTTTTGTTTTTTACAAATTCCAAAGGATATTCCATTCCTTACCTTGCAAGACTTGCCATGCTGTTTAGCTCTTATAGGGAGTGGTTGCTGCCTGGTGGGTCCTGTGCCCTCGCAGCCTAGTGTTAGCAAACCACAAAATGAGCTATCTTCTTCCAAGTTCTGCAAATGTGTTTTGTCAGTGTGTGGATTTAAAACCTGTAAGAAAGAGGGTTTTGTTTGCTTCTTGAGTTTCTTTTTCCATAACAATTTTACCTCATGACTATTTATGGAGTGACTTTAAATAGAGCTTACAGCTTCTTTTTGCTGGTGGGAGGGCGTGTAGATGGGGTACAGAATTTAAAGAAAAGTACAAAGAATAATACTGATCCATAATTCTTTTGCCACAATTCCAAAATCTGAAAAGCTTTGAAAAATCAGTTTTGTTTTGTTTTTTTCCAGAACTCATTTGCCAAAACCTTCCTGATTCTGAACTCATTCAGTAGCAAAACGTAGACAGAGTTGTGAAGCTATTTATAATCATAACTTACCCCTTTTAGTGTGAAGAGTTACAGATTTGGCTACAGAAACATGAATGGATTTAAATATGGAATATTGACCCAGACCCTGCTGGGGATATTATGAAATATATAGTATATGTACTTGATTACCTTTCCCAGATCTAAACATCTAAATTCCAAAACACATCTGGTCCTAAGCATGTTAGATATGGATTGTGGGCCTATATAATAAACATCTGTGTTCACATCGCCCAGAACAGAAAATTTTAACATTTCTCAGTTTCTTTAAAAGTACTTGTGGATTTGTTTCCTCCCCCTCTTCTGCTTACCCAAAAGAATAGAGATGGACATGGGAAAGGAAGGCTAAAGGCTGGGGCCTCCCAGGGTGATGGGCAAGTGAGAGCCGCTGATGGTTTGGTTCATGGATAGATGAACTCCTTGTAAAGATCCAAGCTGCTCAAAAGGCTCCATCATCCTCGGGGTTTGTATTGACTCAACCCTGATAAGTATGGTGGTAGCAGGAAGCCCACAGTATTAGGATCAGCTGTTAGACCCTCTACCCCTCGCCATCTGCCCAGGAGACCCCTTGTCATTATTCAACAGATAGAACAAATGTATGCAGAAAACATATCAAAGATCAAGACAGAGATGGCTGTTGCTTGCCTGGAGGTTACATACTGTGGGTCTCTGCCTGAACAGATATTTCTTAATATTCTAAAAATGTTTTTCCTGTGGATTAAGGATCTCCATTCCTAATTTATGCTTAAGTTTTAGCTGAGGTCCCTCTCGGTCCTCATCTTAGGCAATTAAAGTGAACATGTGCTGTGCATGTGTTATGTGTGTAGTCTAACGAATATAAGCAGCTTCCTACTTTAGACCGTTCTCACAGTTCTCTCACCACACTCCTAAACCAGCGATGGGGAGTCAAGTGTTGTGGCTTGGAGGAGGGAGGCACATCTGAGGGGCTCTGTCACGATGCGGATGGCTTTTAAAATCCCTCTCTTCCACACTGGTGTATTCGAACACATCCTTAGTTAAGTCTTCCCTTAGCCTTTGTTTCCATGATGTAGATATCATGTTAAATTGTCCTCATATGCTCATTCTCCAACTTGTCTTTTTTATCATTGTCCTCTTGACTTTCCAAGAGGCCTCCTTCTCACTCACCTGGTGTGCAGTGGTAACAAGAATGATCTGGCAGGCAGCCATGGCGTTTCATCTCTGTCCACCCACATTGTATCCTGGGGTTCAGTGTCTCATCTGTTTTGTTACTCGGCATCTTATTTTGTGTCTCTTACTGTTGACCCAGCATTTGAGTCACAGTTTCTTTTTCTTCTCTGTCGATTCCCCACTCCCCTCCTGCCTCCTTCCATAACAAGCTCTTCTTGTTTCTTTTTCCTTCCTGTAGTCACCAAAGGTTTTGTATACAGCTCCTTCCTGAGGCCCTACAATGCCCGTCGCAGCCACTCAGACGTCTCTGTCGGCAGCCACTCCTCTACTGAGTCGGAGCACAGTGGTTCTTCCCCCAGGTTCCCACGGCAGAACAGCAACAGCACCTTGACCTTCAACCCCAGCAGCATGGCTGTGTCCTTTACCTCAGGGCCTTGCCGGAAGCAGCCTCAAGATGCATCTTCATTGAAGGAACTTGACCAGGGAACTCTCAGTGCCTCCTTAAACCTGGGCAGCTCAGAGAGCAGTCCTCCCAGCTGCCCTTCAGACCCACACTCCACCTCTCAGCCCAGGCCCTGGGACTCTGCAGA